TCTGGGTTGTCCGTGTGTGCGGGAACGGATCTGGGCCGTCCGATCGCGCGCACGCGGATCGCCCACGTGGCCCGTTTCCTGGTCAGCGTTTTCTTGCCACGCGGCGCGTTCTGGTAGGCCATGGCTGCTGACTGGGCCGCTGACGTGGCTGCTGACGTGGTGCTGACGTGGCACAACTTTTCTAAATTGTGTTTTGACCCCCAGTTTCTGATTTTCTTTTTAAAAACACTTCCAAAATCCAAATTTTCACCACTTTTTTCCAAAATTAAATTCAATTAAATCCAAATAATATTTTTACCCAAATTTATCATTATTATTATTTTTATTTTCATCGAATTAAATTAAATAAAAAATTCAAATAAATAAATAAGAATAAAAATAAATAAATAAAATCTTTATTTTTATTCGGGTGTTACAAATTATAATAATAAGACATATTCTCTATAAATATAATTTATAAAGTATCAATTATATCATTAATGCGGCTGCGACATCATTGAATTTAGATAATCTAATACATAATGTACTATTTCTTTATAAATTATTTAATCTCTTTAAATATTATTGTAGAAAATGTTATAGTAATTGTGTAGAATATTGTTGCACGAACAAGTTCATTAGAATAATTTAACAAATTAATAAACAAGTTCTCTAAAAAAAAACTCGAATAGAATTATAAAAAAAGAAAAATCATTGAATACTCCCGTTATAAAATAAACAGATAATAAATTCCTAAAATCATTATTAGTGACTCTCAATATATCACAAAATGTTTCGTTCTAAAACAATATCAAATAGTTTTCTCTTCACTACTAGCCATTTCCTTTTATATGCATAAGAAAAAGGCTAAATTCCACCACATGACCGGGTAAAAATAAAGTTAGGAACAAATAAAGACAATAGAGAGGGGGAGAAACTCTCCCATGCTTAAATGTAAAAATGTGACTTATTAAGAATTTTTAAAAAATAATATTACTTATTAAGAATTATCTTATGAATTAAAAAAAAAAAATCCAAGGAAGTCTTTGAAGTTTTTTGTTCAAATAAAATTGTCAAATATATTTTTTTTGACAAAATTATTATAATTTTATTAAATTAAGTACTTTTGTTGTTACTCAAAATTAAATAGTTCCTTTTTTTTTTGCGTTAAGTTATTTATTTTTTGGAATTAAAATAATTATTTTTTTTATAAATAATTTAATTTTATTTTTATATTTCTGATTATGACATAATTTAATAAAATTAAATATTACATGAAAAATTATAGCAACATTAACACGAAAACAAATAAATCGATAAATTTTTTTTTAAAAAATTTATTTATCTTTTATGTAAATTAATTAATGCATGGTTGATGGTTCAAAAGAATTTTTCTTTTGCTTGTTCACTCATAAAAATCCCTTTTGACAATTTTGCTTTTCTTAGTAATCATATTTTACTACTTATCCAATAGTTAGTTTAATGAAAAATATTTTTATATATTTTAAAATAAACAAAAAATGAATTTAAAGTACATATACTTTTATGAATATACAAAAAAATTATCTA